AATTTCTGCCGTATTAGTTCTTATTTTTACTACAAGCTTTCGTCTGTTCCTACAGACATCTTCAGATATGGAATAGATGTTGTTCTTGTTTTTTCTCTTAGTAATAAGAGGACAACGAAAATATATGTATTGTTGTATCCGAAAATGCTATTGGAAATGAGTTATTGTTTTTGGAGCGCGCAGTAGCAACGCCGAGTTTGATTTTAAATTTTTTACAGTTGTACGTTCATGTACAAATATGGTGATGAACGAAATTTTACTGGTGAATAATTTTTTTTTGTGTGAATAATTCTTGAATTTGTAAATTGATTGCACGTTTATCGTAATATATATATATATATATATATATATATATATATATATATATATATACTACAATGAAATGGGCCAATGCGACCTCGGGAGAAAAAAAACGTTGATTACCTGCTTGAAGACTGTAAGATTGCCGAAATTATATCCCTCAATGAGGAACCAGAACTCTAAACAAAGTCCCTTTTCGCTTGTTGGATCGAAGGACAAAGATACTAAGTCACCCTTCTTTCCGACGTTTGTGAAATGTTTGGAAGTGAAAAGCATGATGTGACCTGGAAAATTGAAGACAAATCCATTATTAGACGGTTTCTATATTTGTAAATATCAATTTATGCATACTAATTTTCAAAGAATATAATACACCCCCAATTTTTTTTCAAAAGTTTCCATAAACTTTAGTCTGGTAAAAGGTTCCACTAAAAATGGGAACACTCAATGAATATGTCAAAAATTCCAAAGTAACAAAAAATTGGTTACTTAAGCCCCTTTCTTGAACATTCGAGTATGTTCTAGATAGTCCAGGCTTTTTTTTTTATAATAATGTTCACCGTCTACAAGTCTCGTGAACAACTCTAGGTAGAGGATTACAGAGCAAGTGACAGAAATTATGAGGCTATGTTTAGAAGATAACGGTTAACACTAGATTTAAACAGATTGTAGTTATCGGGTAACATCCTCTTGGGTGTCGGTTTCACAATACAGTGAATCGTGAGAAGACTGATCGAATGGAATTTACATCTCACCCAAAGAATATGAATGGAATGAGAGTGCCCGCAGCATAGTAGGTTTTAGCTGTGATGGTTAAGGCAGGTGGATGTAAGAAGTGGAGTTCAGATGAACACTCACCATGGATATACCGATAGAGCAGCGAAAGGCTTGCGACGTTTTGCCTGTTTTAAAGTGGGTGCAGAGTGGAAAATAATTCATCACCTACAAGGACGTGAAGAGGCTTTTGAACTATTGAAAGACGAAAATGATAACTAGGCCACACCTGCCCTTATATAGCAGCAGTACGCCATTTTCGGCCTGATCTAAATATTGTAAAGGTAGAGGAAAGCAGGAGAAATCTTGATATTTGCTGGGGCGGTACACATAACCGAACATGAGCCTGACTGGATTTAACATCGATGGCTTCAGACCGACTGCTGTTGACTGGACAAGCTTAGGAAAACAGCAGCGACCGACAAGATCTAGTTTTTGTTTTTATTTTCCCAAAACAATTGAATTATCGTCAGCTTATTAATTTTTTTATGCAAAACAATTTCCTAACCGTAATCTTAATAATGGAATTAAATTTCTTAATCGTAACCCCAATGAGAGAATTAAATTTCTTAAACTTAACCCCAATAAGAGAATTAAATTTCTTAAGCGTAACCCCAATAAGTGAATTGAATTTGTAAATCATAACCCCAATAAGTGTATTAAGTTTCCTAACCGTAACCCCAATAAGAGAATTAAATTTCGTAACCGTAACCCCAATAAGGGAATTAAATTTCCTAACCTTAACCCCAATAAGAGAATTAAATTTCCTAACCGTAACCCCAATAAGAGAATTAAATTTCCTAACCTTAACCCCAATAAGAGAATTACATTTCCTAACCTTAACCCCAATAAGAGAATTACATTTCCTAACCTTAACCCCAATAAGTGAATTAAATTTCCTAACCGTAACCCCAATAAGAGAATTAAATTTCTTAACCGTAACACCAATAAGTGAATTAAATTTGTAAATCATAACCCCAATAAATGAATTAATTTTCCTAACCTTAACCCCAATAAGAGAATTAAATTTCTTAACCGTAACCCCAATAAAAGTATTAAATTTGTAAATCATAACTCCAATAAGGGAATTAAATTTCCTAACCGTAACCTCAATAAAAGAATTAAATTTCTTAACCGTAACCCCAATATGAGAATTAAATTTCCTAACCGTAACCCCAATAAAAGAATTAAATTTCCTAACCGTAACCCCAATAAGTGAATTAAATTTGTTAATCATAACCCAAATAAGAGAATTAAGTTTCCTAACCGTAACCCCAATAAGTTTACTGTGTCCCTTCAGGATGTATGCGATCATGGCCCTCCACCTGTCTCTTAAGAAGTTCTGACTTTTTGTTATTTCTGCTATCCACTTGCGCAAGCATATTAATTATGTCACGCCTTGCTTTCCCTTGTCCTGTGAGAATCAGATTTTCCAATACATCCAAAGTCGTGCGTTTGTTTATTTATTTTTGAAAAAAATAATGTAGCGTCCTTTAGTTTTTTAAATAAAAATTTAAAAACAAGCGTTAGATGGTCATTTGGTAAAATATCGCCTGAGGATAGTGTAAAGTCGAAACGAAGTTAGCGGATTCATCTGACCTCTTGATTTTAAAAATTCAACAATAATTCTTTTGCCACCACTTAATTTAAAGGCAATTTGAGGTACGTAAGTCCTTATTTTCCATACAAAAAATTATTTTTATTTAATGGGTGACTTTCGCTGGATTTCGAAATCAATTTCGTTTATTCCCAAATTTATTTCCAAGCTATAAAAAAATTTTATCGTACAAAACATTTGTCGCAAAAATTCACGTAAAAAATCGCGGAAAACAATCTCAGTGATGGAATAAAAAAATTTTATCGTACAAAACATTTGTCGCAAAAATTCACGTAAAAAATCGCGGAAAACAATCTCAGTGATGGAAACTTGGGAACCGAAAATTTCTGTAACATGAGCTAATGAAAGTTAAAAGAGTTGTGTCCCTTTAATTGAAAAAAATGTGTGACACAGTGACATTCGCATTTGTTATACAGATATATTGAATTAAATTAAAAATCCATAAAATACTTTGATTACGATTCGGATACGAAAATAAATTAGCAGAAATGGGCTTCGAAAGATCTTTACAAGAAATGTGCTATCCTTCGTACGGTTAATTGAGACTTGCATAGTGATGACAATTCTTCATGGCTGAGCGGTTTAAAAGCAGCCCCGATTGTACTCCCCAACATAAGGGTGACGCTGATTCGAACCCTACCGAAGGGCACCTTTCCGGTAGACAACAATTGCACGGTTTAAAAGAGCAGGTTTACCCAAACGCGTGTATTCTGTAAATATAGCACTTATAGTAATAAGGGTCGTTTTAACAAATCTCGTTAAGAAAACCTGCTGTTGAAATGACGAAGTAAGGACGTTTAGTTTATCATTAACAAAGGCTATGACAAGCAGCTACTTCGGAGACTGTATAAATGAATCATTACTCTGACACACATGAATTTGGGTCTAATATTTTTATTATTAAATAATCGATATTTTTGATTTATGGCGAAGTCGGAAATTCTTAAAAAACGCACAATTGCTTAAAGTAACCAAACACTTTTAAATGGTTTTGGATTTTGAGAAAATATTTTCCTTAATTCATTCATAATGACTGATTGTAATGCTTACGTTTTTTTTTGTTTTTTTTTTGGTGTTTGTGTGTGTGTGTGTGTGTGTGGCGGGGGGGTTTGGTTTGTTTTACGGCATATCAACATCAATGGGTCATTTAATGCCGCCAACTTTTTTTTCTTGGTAATATTTTATTTTGTCAAAAATCTATTTCTGGTAATATTTTTTTCCTCAAAAATGTATAGCTGGTAATATTATTTGAAAAAATGTATTGCTGGTAATAGTTTTTTTTTTTTTTTTTTTTTAATTCAAAAATTTATTTCTGGTAATAATTTTTTTACAAAGTTTTTCTGGTATTAAAACTTATTTTTACACTTTCATAATGCTTTTTACCTCAGTTTCGGGGTTAAGCATTTGCCCATAGCTGGGACCCTAACAGGTGCTACCACCCCGGGTTAGAGTGGACCTAGGAACACCAGCAATTAAGAGGTGGTTCCACGCTCCTCAAAACCTCCTGATCAGAGGCCTTGCTGCTGGACGTAGTTTATCGTCTTACCCAGGACGCTGGTGTAGTTTATCGTCATACCCAAGACGGTTGTGTGTAGGTGGGAATAATCGAGTTCAGCTAAGGAACGTAATAAGGCCATTAAAACACAATGGGTTATTGTTTGTAGAAGAATTAGAAAACAGAAAATTTACTAAAGGAGGAGAACAAAAGAAGCGTAATGAGGAGGACAGTAAATAGCGACTGACACTTAATTTAAATTTTCGAATATCAAACTCGACTGGAAAGCATGGAGCCAGAAGGGAGTTCTACAAGCAAGAAGTGCGAGAAAAGAAACTGTTAGTATAAAACATACTGTTACAGGTAGCCAACTCACCTGTAAATTGGTGAGACCCTTCGCCAGGCTAATACTGCGCTTACATGCATAAAGTCTAGGTACCATAGCGAAGAGTTCATCCAAACAATTACCATGAAAGTATTTATTATAAAAGGTACAGGAAGGCAACTTTACGGCGGTCGTAAAATAAAGCGATTTATATTGGCCGATAATATTGCTGATTCTTCTTGGATTATGTCAAAGAGCTCCAAGAGAACCGGACCATATATGGCAGCAATATTCTAAGCATGGATGAATAAAAAACACATTTTTAGCGCCAAACAAAATCTTCAGAACACTGACAATAATTTTACTTCGTCCAGGATAATAAATATTGGAAGAATAGCCTCTCTTTGTCTTTTCTACAAATATTTTCATGGTAATTGTTCTGATGAGCTTGGCACCTCTTTGCTACCTCGACTTTGCGAATTTAAGACTTACGGCTATATCACTTTGAAACACCGATTCCCGTATGATCACAGAAGTTAAGCAACGTGGAACTGCGTTAGTACCAAGATGGGTGACCGATTGGGATTACTTGATGCTGTAAACTTGATGTGAGCGTAGTGTAATGGAAAACGCCTATGAATTTTTAATCGGAGAGCGGAGTTTCAATTCCAGTTGGGTTCGTTATATTCACTTATGCGTAAATACCGTCAGAAAATGGCTCCACCTCTTCTCCCTCCAGATGTGGGTTAAACCTGTACCACGAAACTTATTATATTTTTAAAAAATTACAATCTAAAAATAATTTCTGGCTTTATATAACCTGTAAATGGTTGATAAGCCGTAGAAAATGAATGAGCCAAAAGCAATCAATTTACGAATTTCAGCGCAGTACTAGATTCGTAGTTAGGTCTCACAATTTTACAGTAGAATTTGCTAGTTGGAACCGTAAGTTCTATTCTAATAGTTTCTTCTGTCACACTTCTCGCTTGTGGAACTCTCTTCCAGCTTCTTGCTTTGCATTAAACTGTAATCTTCAAAAATTTAAATGCAATGTTGATAGTTTTCTTCCTTCTTTTTAATTTCTGTTCTTTTATTGTTCTTTCTAATGTTCTTTTGTACTCCTTGCGGCTTAGTGGCTTTATTACCTTGCTTAGACTGAAATTATTTTAAAAGAAAGAAAGAAAGAATACTTACCAAATGCTCCATCAGTCGTATGATCAGTTGACGGAACCCTTCTGTAAAAATGCATATATCCAAGATTTAGATGTTGCCAGTCAAGATCATTACCCCGGGCATTGTGCCAACCACAAGTATCGATTTCAAATGTGCAATCACCTGTTCCAAATAAAAGAATCATTTATTAATCATCGATTGCAATTATCACATACAGTAACCAAACATCAAGAAAAACTTTTCATTCTTTGCTAATAATACTGTCAGTTAGTTTAAAGAAAAAGCCGAGACACTCACTGGCCACATTTTTACTTCTGAGTATCCCGACACTAAGAAAATATACTTGTAATCGAAACAAATAATATTCCGAAGGCGCTAGACCCACTAAGTAGAGATTTACAAAGCGTAGCTCAGATGTGGCACAAGGCCGGAAGTATGGGGCACCCAGTGAGGATCGAATTCACTACTCTTCGTAATTGTGCTAACCATTACACCACCTCGAGGTGCCCAGATCCGCTAAGTATTAACGTTGACTGAAAACATTGCAATATAATGATTCTACTGAATTTGTTTTACTTAGTGAAAGGTGTGCTATACTACAAGCCTACGCATGGTGCAACTAAGGGTGAGAGGTTGAGGTCTATTTCGAAATGTTAGAATTTCATACATTTGGGGAGGAAAGTTAAACATTCTTATCTGATTATATTTTTGAGATAAAATATTGTAACTATTTACATTATTCGGACTGTTGTCTTCATATTTATAGTCATATTCACGACATTTTCGGCAGTTGTACGGCCCGGCCTTATTCAAGTGGTATACCTTGAAATTTCGAGCCGAACCCTTTATTTAGCCCACGAGGATAGATTGTTCTAGTTCCCCATGCCAAGCCTTTTTTGAATATCTTAGTTTTCAGTTAATTCCCTTTAGTAACTCAACTCTCCAAATTTTTGTTCACCTCTGCTGAGTCCAGGTATTGAATACTTAACTCATTGGGTCAAGTTACTTTTCGAGTTACGCAACCAACGCTTTTATCCACAAGGACACATGACTCAGTGGATAAAAGCGCTAGTTGAAGTAATTCAAAAGTGACTTGACCTAAAGAGTTGTGAGTTTAATACCTGACCACACCAGAGATGAAAAAAAAAACTTGCAGAGTTACTAAAGGAAATTAACTGAAACTGAGATATCCAGAAAAGGCATGGCACGTGGAACTAGAACAATTAAACCCGTGAACTAAGTAAAGGGTTCGGTTCGAAATTACAACGTATATCACATCTAAGAGTAACTCTATTTGAAAGCTTCCAGTAAAACTCTGAAGATACGGTTTTGGCGTGTCGATGACGCTTGCTGTCATCAACAAACGAAAAGCAACGAACGCTGTTAGTGGAGATTCGAATAATAAATAGCATATTAAAAACAAATGTTAATGACTGAATTGAAATTACCTGGTTCTGCACAAGAAGGTAACAATTTTACATCATCAATAGCAATACCCCCAGGTTTCACACCAGCAACTCCTTGGAATAGAACCTGAAAAGAATCTTAACTTGTTACTATTAGGTTGGTGCAAAAATAATGTCGTTTTCTCACATATGTTACTTTTATATATGATTTCTGAATTAATTCATTAATATATATAGCCATGTTGTATATCATTTTGAAGCGCGTTTTTCGCTCTATCGAATCGTGTTATTTGTTACCGTTCTCAATCTCTTCATTCATATTTTGCAGGCTTTTCGACAGCATGGACAAAATTCAAAACAGCACGATTTTCTTGTTCCAGTTCAAACTAGGCCGAAAAGCTGCCGAGACAGCTCGTGATATCAATGATGCGTTTGGCCCAGGAACCACTAACGAACGCGTGGCACAACGGTGGTTCAAGAAATTTCGCAATGGTGACGAGAGCCTCGAAGATGAAGACGGTCGCGGCCGGCCGACTGCGGTTGATAGCGAACATTTGAAAGCCTTAATTGAAGCCGATCCTCGCAAAACTATACGAGAAGTTGCTGTTGAACTCGAGGTCAACCACTCAACAGTCGTTCACCATTTAAAGCAAATAGGGAAGTCAAAAAAGTTGGATAAATGAGTGCCGCATGAATTGAACGATAATAAAAAAAATCGTCGTTTTGAGGTGTCTTCTACGCTCCTTCTGCGCAACAAAAACGACCCATTTCTCGAGCGGATTGTGACGTGTGATCCTCTACGACAACCGGCGACGTTCGGCACAGTGGTTGGATGCCGGAGAAGCTCCACAACAATTCCCGAAGCTGAAATTGCACCAAAAAAAGGTTATGGTGACTGTTTGGTGGTCTGTGGCCGGTCTCATCCATCACAGCTTCTTGAATCCGGGCGAAATGATTACTGCCGACAAATTGACGAAATGCACCAGAAGCTCCAACTTATGTGCCCGAGATTGGTCAATATGAAAGGACCAATTCTCCTCCATGACAACGCTCGCCCGCGTGTTGCTCAACTGACCCTGCAGAAGCTGAACGAATTGGGCTACGAGACTCTGTGTCTGTGTGTGTGTGTGTGCAGATATGTAGAAAAATAGGAAAGAACAAGTTAGGTAAATAGTCTGGAGTTCTTTAGTATTTTTGTTTTTATTTTTTAAAAAAAGTGCTCCTTACAGAAGTAGAGCTTAAATTATAATTATTTTTTTAAAAATAGGATTCCCTCGCGACCTAAGCGTTCTCATGTTTCAAAAACAACAACCGAAAAGCTCAATATAATTATTAAAATTAAATTAAGTTAAAGTATCAAGCCCTGTTTCATCCTCAAGGAAAAATTTAGGAATAACCTATCTTGAAATTTACGCATTATATATATATATATATATATATATATATATATATATATATATATATATATATATATATATATATATATATATATATATATATATATGTATGTGTGTGTGTGTGTGTGTGTGTGCAAGTATGCAGAAAATAGGAAGGAACACGTCAGGTAAATAATCCGGAGTTCTTAGTATTTTTGTTTTTATTTTTAAGACAGTGCTCCATATATAAGTAGAAATTTTATTATAATATTTTTTAAGAATATGATTCCTTCGCTACACAAGAGTTCTCAAGTTTCAAAAACGTGAGCCGAAACCATCAATATAATTATTAAAATTAAATTGAATCAAGGTGCCAGGTCCCGTTTCATCCTCAAGCGAAAATTTAGGAATAAGCTATCTTGTTTGCGCGTGTTTATAAGTATGGTCCATTGCAACATTAATTACTATGGAAACGACTAGGCCGGCCATCTTGGTTAGATGGTCAAACTGTTAATTCTTATCTACAGATTCGTCACCTTCGGAAAGGTTATGTCAGAGTAGAGTGGGGTATCTATTTCAAAGCTAATGGTGGCGGTCACCATCTAGTTAGTTTACAGCGGAAGATATTTCATGGCGCGACGGCAGGTCATTAAGTGTCGACAGGATTTTGTTTTATTATTATCTATCTGTTAATCTCTTTATTTATTTGTTTATTCTAATGGCTGTTCCGTATACAAACGTATTGTACTGAACTACAATTTGTTTTTTGACGACTTCACAAAGGTTTTTTTCTATTTAATGATTTGGCTAAGCTTTTAAGACTTTTATTAAATTATGGAATTCATTTATTTATCTATTTTTTATGCTAATTATTTAATGCAAAAATTTGTTGATGTCGGCAAAAAAACGTTAACTCCTGCCTATGGTTTAATAACTTTTCATTATTTAGAAACTTAATGATGTGTAGTTTTTCGTGTAGGCATAAAGGGCATGTGTCATCCCAGGTTTTACAAGTTCTTGTTCTATTTATTATTTTCCATTTTACTTTTGGAGTTTTATTCGTTTCTTTTAGATGCCAGAAATATTGGGATAGGGATGTCTGATTTCTATTTTGTCTCAAAAACAGAAACTAAAACTTAAAAAAATTAATTATAGAATTAAATTAAAATCCATAGTACTGTTTCATTTTTTATATATCCCGGAAAGTGATATATTTGTTCAAAGTAGCAAAGTGGTTTTGGACTACTGTAACCGGGTACGACAATCTAGCAGGTGACCGTAATGGACTGGTCCTCGTCGTAGTCGTAGGCAATATGCTTAGGCAATAGTCGTAGGCAATGGGCGTAGACAATAGGCGTCGTCCTGTACCTCCACATCAGTCTGTATTTATGGCTGACTCCAGCCAATCATATTACTGAGAGGGGGAACCCAGATGTATGCAATTTTATTACATCAATTTTCAAGCACGTTTTTCCAAGAATCACTTGAAAATGAAACAGTACTAGGGATTTTAATTTAATTCTGTAATTAAATTTAAAGTTTTAGTATCTGTTTTGAAACATGGTAATTCCTGTGTAGTGATGGGACCATATTTTTTAATTTATAATGTTTATGCTCTACAGAATTGTTCTTTTTTTTAAATAAAA